CTCTCTCTCTCTTTCTCTCTCTTGTTTTTTTTTTCTCTCCAAGTGGCTAGCTCCCTTTACATCTGTCTCTTTTCTCCCATTTTTTTTTTCTGCATTGATGAAACTCAGTCTGGACCTAGTCTAGTCACAAGCCCAGAGGGTCCCTTTTGACAGTTCCCTATGACAGTCTTGGTGGGGAAAAGATGAAGGGATTTCCAGGGGGGGCTGTTTTAATTAATTAATAGCAGGACAGAAGCCTAGTTTACTTCCCTTGAGTGGCCAGGTTGTCACAGTGGAGCTTGAGACTTCTGTTTTACCTCAGAGTGATCCAGCCGAGGATTTTGGTGGCTGTCTTTCTCAATTCATTCTCCCTCCCAGGAAGCCCTCAGCTCCCATCTTTTCCTTCCAAACTTCCTGACCACCCCCTCAACGCACCCTCCTGTGAGGACACTCAGCTGGTATTCTTGCACATTTCAGATCAAACTAAACTATACTAAAATTGTGTGCCAGGTTTGACGTAGGTGCCTCACGATCCCAGCCGAGTTTGCTATTTCCGAGGCTTCTAAGTATACAAATATCTGTAGCTATATAAAAAGACAACACCTTCAGGGTTTGCACCACAGCAGGGGATATTTTTAAAGCTGCTTTGAATCAGGCTAAAAAATCACCCCGTGGCTCACCTTGAAAAGTATTCAAAGGTGTCTTGATTTGTTCTTTCCAGACACAAAGCAGCATGGTTGTTTCTTACGCCCATCCTCTGCGCCCCCACCAAAGTGTGGGCCTAACACTTAGAGGTGATTTTTTAGAGGATTCCCTGAAACTCCAGCACCAATCCAACAAGCTGAACTGAGCATGGCTTCCTTAGTCTGGCTCTGCTTCCCAACCTCAGGAGTGTGCGTGCTAAATGCAGAAGGTGGACCTTGCTAAAACCTTAAACTTCAAGACAAAATCCCTTCAGATACAGATGCCATCCTCAGCTCTCAGAATGAGAATAGTCTCCGTGTCAGAACACAGGACTAAGGACAGTGAGAGGAAGCATGTGGAGGAAAGAAATTGAAGAATGCCTTGGTAGCTTTGCTCAGCTCCCCATGGGACTAAATGCCAAGAGAAAAAGGCAACAGGTCAGGACCTTTTTTTAATGGCACAGGAAACCAAAGACCTGCTACCCTACTTGGGGAAAACAGTGACACACAAGTAAGAAGACCCTCACTGATGGTCACATGACTAGGATCCATAGGATCCCAGCCATAGCCCCTATAGAATTTGGGAAAGCCACACCAAGTATGGCCAACTCTGTGTTGAAGGATGCTTCGTGACAATGTGAGTGGCTACAATGAGACATGTCTGGGGGTCCATTTTTTAAATAATTTCTCTCTGACACATATATAAGCCATGGAAGGAATCTTGTAAGCATGGACAGTCCATGAGAGATGCTCTCCACAGCATCTTCTCTGCTGTGACTTGTCACTTGAGGGCATTGGTTGGGCTAGGCTGGTTTACACAGGCTTGCTTTTCCTGCACCCCTTTCCACTTTGTTACTGTGTTTTACACAGTTTTAAAACAATGTATCTGATCTCCTTATTTCATAGACACACAAAGTGAGCTAAGCTCAAAGGTGGACCCCCACCATAGCAGAAAGTGTTTTATTAACAGAAACTCCAATGAATTGCAAAATCTCCTTTTGTCTCTCCTGGGTACAAGACGCATGATTTGGAGACTCTCTGGGATTGTTTTCCATGAAAAGTGATCCCTTTTGGGCTTAAAGATTTCAGGGTCCTAAGAGCCACTCTCCCCATCTGCCTAGTGCTCATAGAAGACCACCAGGCAGCCCGGAAGTGCCTGGCATCTGCCAGACCACCAGCAGCAGGCTGCCACACCTCTACCTGTCTCCTTTATAGTTCCTCTTCTCTTCCTTTCCATGCTTCCTTTCAATTCCTTCTTTTTCTAGGCCCCAGAATGTCTATCCTTCCCCCCCCCTCTTCTTCCCACAGTTTACCATGGAGATTAACTAGAAAGAGACAAGCTCAAGCCACCTTCCAGGTTGAGCGCCGCCTGCCCATCCCCTCATACTTGCTTTCCATTTTTACAGCATCTGAGTTAAGTCAGTTTTCCATCACAGTGACAACACTCTAGAGAAAAACAACTCAAAATGAGCTAAGATTTACTTTGGCTCCTGGTTTCAGAGTTCCCTGAAACCTGTCCTTGCTTGGATCCAAGGGAAGGCAGACCATCATAGCAGTGAAAGCCTGTGGCACAGGCCACTCCCTTTGTAGTGCCTGGAAGCAAAGAGATGTAACAAGAAAGGGTTAGGATCTAGTTATTCCCTGCAAAGTCGTGTCTTCCTGCATCGACACCTTGCCTGCCACAGTTCCCACCACCTCCACTGGCCTACGTAAATGTCTAATCCATCAATGAAGTAAATCACTGATAAGGCAAGAACCCAATCTGTTTTCTTGGAGAATATACTCAGATATGAGTAGGGATGAGACTAATCCCCTAGATATCACTCACCCAGTCAAGTTGACCATCAAAATTAGCCATTGCATAGTCCACGACGCATTCGAACCTTACTGTCTGTTTCTCATTGCCCCGTCCCCATACCTTTGGAAGCACAGTTGTGCAACATACTCAATGCCTAGACCGGCATCTTTGTATAATAAGACATTTAGGTAGGGGCTGGCAAGATGGCTCCATGGGTCAAGTGCTGACCACCAAGCCTGGCAGCCTGCCTTCCATCCCCAGCACCCACATGATAGAAAGAGAAAACTTACTCCCATAAACTGTCCTCTGATCTCTATGTGTATGCTATAGCATGCGTATGCCCTCCCAATTAAAAGAAAATTCAAAAGTGCAATGGATTAAAACACAAAATAAATTTAAATTCAGTAATTCATAATGTTGCTCAAAACACATTTTAAAAGAGAGGAAGATTTGGGTTAGTGGCTGATGGAGCTGTGAGCAGAAATGACCACATCCTGTGTCACCTTCACATAGGCATTCACATGTTTGATGACTCTGAACCCACCATAGAAATCACCATTCTGGCCTGCAGGAGTCCCGTACATGGAGAAGGGAGAGGTGTGAGTGCTCACCTGCTATGCTCAGCCTTGGAGGAGGCTCTCTCCAAGAGAAATGTTTTCATTTGATTTGCTCAAGTTAGAAAAGTAGAATAAGATCCCAACACACACCCCCCAAAATATGCTGTTAAATAACACAACCAATAAGAAAGCCCAGTAGAAAACTATGGAGCTTAGGGTATTTTGAGGAACACATTATGCTGGAATCTACGCAGTAATCAGCTTGTTTAAAATGAGAATCTTCTGTACCTTGAATATTCCCAAGGAAGTAAAATCAAAGATTGAAAGAGAGAGATGTGCTTCGTGTCCTTAATCGCTACACTTTGCATGACTGTTTTGTGTGCTTCTCGCATGCGTTTACCCATTAATTGTGTCAATAATGAAGAAGAAATGTGCGCTACACTTGTGGCCCAGCTGTTTATGGTGATTGCTTTGAGCATGGTATTTCTTTTCCAGCACCTTTCCCAAAGTGTCTCATCTCCAACATGCTCAGTCGATCGCTCTTTGCCCTAAGTCCCCAAACGGACTCCGTCGCCACCTTGATGCTTTAATTGCAGCTGACTCAGCTTTTCTGGAGAGCTGCGATGTCTGTCTCTGACTCCTTTGGAAGCTGCAGTCATGACGAATGCTCGAAAAACAGTCAATGTGAAGGACTGCCTGGCTTGGCTTTCCTTCCCAGTCATTGTCCAAAGCAGATCTGGAATGAGCATTTAATTCTAAAGCAGCTGTGGCTCTTCAGCCTTGTTTGGGGTTTCATCGGTAGAGGTGGTTTGGGAGATGATTGACGTTTTCATACATTTTGTGAGCAGCTGGACGGGAGGAAGGGGTCCCAAGTCACACCTCCCCTCTATGGTCCGGCAGCTTGCAGATAGATTCTCAGATAGAGAACCGGGCTGAAGAATCCACCCAGGTAAGAAAGCACCCCACTCCCATATAGGTTGAGAGGCATTTGGGTTGGACAGAATGTGTGGTCACTGCTGTAAGGACTCATAGAGAGACCACCCACCTGCTTCGGCAATCCTTCCTCACTCTGTCTCTCTCCTGCCACTGTTTCTTGCTTCAGGGAGGTTCCGAGAAAAAGCTTCAATTCTCCACAAGATTGCCAAGAAGAAATGCCAAGTGGATGAGAATGAGAGGCAGAATGGGGCTGCCAATCATGTGGGTGAGTGAGAGACCCACCCCTTGTCCTTCCCTGGTGGGTGAGGGGGAGGGGCAGAGACACAGAACCCATGTGGGAACTCCTGCCCCACTACTGCTAGTTCAGGCCCTTTCTAAACAATGAAATGAGTTCAGCTCTTCCCCCTGGGACTGGGCAGAAATGGGTATGTATGTCTCCAGTAACACTAAGGGAATCCACAGGGAAGAGTAATTGTAACCAAATCACCAGATTTGACAGGCACTTGGAGTCGGAATGCCACAAAAAAAGGAGACACACTTAAGTCATCCAAGTCATTGACATTTAGCTAGAGGTAAGAGTCCTGCTTCTGTATGTTTGACTGGTGCTCAGACTGTGTATGTATCTGTGACACTGCTCACAGCACCACCCCCAAATCACCACTCCCTTACCCAAGAGTCCTTTTAAATCCATGACATCTCCTCTATGCTAAGAAGTCAACACCATCAGTGCTAGGGAGATGTATCAGCAGATAAAGTGCTTGCTATGCGTGAGGACCTAAGTCTAGATCCCAGCATCCACACAAGTGCTGGATGGGAGTGGTGGGTCCACCTGTACTCTCAGCACTTAGGATCCAGGGACAGAAGATTCCCCAGGGCAAGATAGCTAGCTAGACTGGCCAAATTGACAAATTCTGGGTTCCACAAGAGACCCTTAGCAAATAAAGTGGCTATCAATCTTTGGCCTCCATACACATGTGCACACTACATGTACACCAATACACACACATACACATGAGCTCACACTACATATACACAAATAAAGCTAGGCAAAAATCAACCTAGGTCTGTCTTGGCTGACTTTTCTAGAACTTCTGTGTGACCAGATTGTGACATTCAGGCATCTTATTTTAACTTGGGGCATCATGTTCCTTTTCTTCTGTCTGTAACTATAATATAGCTCTCAATTCTAAATTCAGACTAAATTTAACCTAATCTGGATCCATGCTGTAAACGAAGCTATTGCCCAAGTGACTAAAATTATCTACAGACAAATCTCAACAGTTTTGCCCTCAAAATACTCCATAGAAGACTTCCTGCCTCTCCTATCATCCTGAATTGTAACCCAGGCAAAATTTCAGCTAAGGAACAGTTAGGAGTCAAATGAGTATTTGTGGAGAAAGTGGACAGGAATAGGTTCAAGTGTTAACTAGGATTGGATTACAAGTTGTGGGTTTTTGTCTGATCCTCTCTGTTCCTGTGAACCTGGACACATTTTTCAGAATGAGCAGAATTTTGGGTTTTTATTGTAAAGTCAACAGGGAAAGTTACTGCCCGGCTAAACTCTGTGTGTGATTTTTTTGGTTCAGTTACAAGGACTACTTTTTCAACTCTGATTGTTGTTTTTTTCTTTTGAGGGATGAAGTAGCTTGGAACAGAATGGTTTATGTGTCTGGGTTCATTCCCAGACCTCCGCCTAGACTCACGCTGGTGAGTGTAGGCTCAGATTTAATCATCCATGACAAATAACCCCAAGGAACACCCTGCTGAGGGGAGCAGTGAAGGACTTGGTAACAGAAGAAGTGTGTATCAAAAATCTATACTTTTCCAAACCTCAGAACTTATTTTCATATTTTTTGTGACAATAAAGACTGTGGGTTAAAAGCATACTCATTTTAGAGACTGCATGGAAAGTGGATTCTTATTGGTCTATGTCTATCCTAGAGGATCTAAAACCCCTTTGGATCCCTCTATCCTGTAATTCTGGGATGTAGCTTGGCCTCGGCAATCTGCTCCTGAGGCCATACGAGGACTTTCATGTCCCTGGGGCACTTAGTATGTTTTAGTTTAAATAACTGAATGAATTGTCTGGCACGGCTACAGACAGCAGGGCATTCCTCAACACTGACACTGTTAGTCATGGGTGGAGAGGGAAAGCCCAGATTCCTATACCTTCTATACCTTCATTTGTACCTCAGGACACCACGATTGAATTCACGAGCATTTCCCTAGGATTTTCAGTATTTGACTGTTTCAAACCAGACATTTTTATGAAGTTCTTTGGGGGGGGTGCATAATAAGGTCTCACTATATAACTCAGGCTGGCCTTGAACCTGTGACCATCCTTCTACATCTACCTACCAAGTGCTGAAATTTTTAGGCTCCAATTTTCTTACAAACTAATGATAGAAATATTTGGTCCTTCTGAAATTGCTAAGAAAAAAAAAAAACCTGTTCTCCCATGGGCATCCTGTAGTTGCTCACATCTGGCACAGCTTACAGACTGGTGTCCAGTAACCCTGACTCCTGACTCAGTCCCTCCTCACCCTGGACAGAGCTGGTGCCAGTAGGAGCCTTTCTCTTTTTTGTTCTTTCTTTATTTTAAAGATCTCTATTTATTTTTATATGTCTATATGTGACCCACATGCACACAGGTGAACATGGAGCCCAGAATAGAGCATTGGACCACCTAGAACTATAGTTAAAGGCAGTTGTGATCACCCTGACACAGGGGCTAGGAACTGAGCACAGTTCTTTGAACGAGCAGCAAATGCTCTTAACTACTGAGCCATCTCTGAAGCCTCAATGAGAGACTTTCTGTTTCACTCCCTCTTGATTCCCAGTTGAACCTAGTGGGGCCTGACCACTGGTCAGCTAGAGGGGCTTCTCTTAGCCCTAAAAAGAAAATATCTTGCAGAAAAGCAATTGCAGTGACAGAGATTCCGATTATTCATTTCTGGCTTGGCCAGGCCCTCTTCTGAGTGCTTTTCCTGCATGTTCCTACCTCTCTGTCAGTGAGGCAGTGGTAGCAGCAATAGCAGTCATGGTAGTAGTGGCAGTTAGGAACACCAACTTTCTGCAGGTGAGGTTAGGGTTAGGGTTAGGGTTAGGATTAGGGATGTCACAGAGGTTGAGGCAATCACTGAGGGCCATACAGCACAAAGTGCAGAGTGAGAGCAGAAACACAGGCCCATCTGGTTCCTATTGTTACAGAGTTCCAGGGCCTTTGAATCTCTTCTCCTGTCTCAGGAAAACATGACTGCATTTGTTAACCTGTTGTTTCTCTCTCTGGCTTGCTCTCTCACTCAGCTGTGTTCCTTGTCTCAGTGCCCCCACCCCCTTGCTTTTCTTGGAACCTACTATGTGCCCATATGTGGTGCTAGATGTTTTAGCAATGGCCATCTTCATACCTCACAGCTGAATGTGCTGGGCATTGGCACCTCCACCATACAGCTGAGGATGCCAAACGGGCTGAGATGAAGTGGTTAACTGGGTTAACTGGATTAACTTGGTTAACTAGTTGCAAGTGGGCTGAAACACCAAGTCCAAGTGCAGTCCCCAAGCTATTTTTTCCCCACTGCAGGAGTGCTGTTAGGACTCTCAGGATTATAAGAAAAGGCAGGTGGCCAAATCCTCTCCCAGCACAGGCAGTTTTGAAGACTGAGAGTATTAAAGAAGAAAGCAGAGGACCCTGCCTGGCCATCAGCCACAATGAACCATTCACCATACAGGGGGTGTTCCAGCCTAGTTGAATGGGGGACTTGACAGAGATAGCAGGCTGATGGTGACAAAATATAGCCTACAACACGGTACCATGGACAGTGTCCTTTGCAGGGAGGTACACTTGTGGGGGTGATCCAGCTATCTCACAGTCTGTTCCTAAATGTCTAAAGGTATATATCTGCGTCCTTGCATGGCCCTTTACATGTGGCAGCTGATAGGGCCTCCAACAGTATCATGTGTGAGCCAGAGCTATGAAAAGGGAAGGGATAGAACACTAGGCATTACAGGCTAAATGGTAAAAACCCTTTGCCAATACCCAACACCAACTTCAGGTCTCAGATGCCTTCTCCTCACCTTCTGATCACTACTTTAGAATGTCCATTCCAACACAGCCCTTTATACCCATTGACTCTGATCGTTTTCTTTGTGTTTAAATTATGTCGCAGAAAAAATTGAACTCCCCAACAGCACGAGCACAGAGGTCGAAATGACACCATCAAGCGAAGCTTCAGAACCTGTGCAGAATGGAAACGTCTCCCACAACATTGAAGCTGCAGATGCCCCGGTATGATGTCTGAACATGACAGTACAGCTTCCTTGGTGGCCCAGCACCCAGCTGAATGGACACCGAGGGGAATCTGGCTCATATATGTGTCTTCCTTAGGGTCTTGAATAGGGCAATCTCTGTGTACATTAAATGAACACCCAATCTCTCTAAGCAATCGTCTTCTCAGGGTGAAGGGAAGGGCAGATGTCTCAGAATCTGGGGGTGAAAAGTCATACACTTAATGTATGGTAAAGCTTGGTGGCTATGGTTTTAAATTCTATGCTAAATAACAAAAAACTCAGTTATCACACTGTGGGTCCTGTGGCGGAAACCCAGGGTAGCTTTCCACGATGTCCGGTCCCAATAACTCGAGAAAGTCTGGAGTTCCAAGAGTTTTATTGTTCATGGTGTGTGATAGATGGTCTCGATGTACACCCCCAGTTTAAGCCAGGGCAGGCCTGACTTAAATAGGGAGGGGGAAAGAGGAGGGGCTGGGGAAAGGAATAACTTAATTAGCTACGCCCCATGGCCTTTAGGTAACTCATGAGTATGGAAATCTCTTGAGGCTGAAGCCTGTAGTCACACCTGCTACCTATGTGTAGATGGTGACGCAAACTTTTCTGGGAGGGGCTGCTTAGCCAAACATGACTGCAAGGTGCAGGTTAATGGACCTGTGTCAGGAGTCCGGAATCTGGGGCCGTGGCAAGATATGTGCTGTCCCTACACAGGCAATGGACACCTATTGGGTCTCCAGCTATCTCAAAACCAGTGCTCTACTGAGGAGACCAAATCATCCTTTTCACGGTCCTACATCACACCTTCACGAGATCTTTTATCTCTGTGGTTGACATTAATACTCTTTGGCCCCACCCAGAGTTCAACTGCAACCAATGAACTGTTCTTCCTAGAAGTAATAATACTTAGCATCTATCAAATACCTACTATGTGCCCATATGTGGTGCTAGATGCTTTAGGAATGGCCATCTTCATACCTCACAGCTGAAGGTGCTGGGCATTGGCACCTCCACAATACAGCTGAGGAAGCCAAACGGGCTGAGATGAAGTGGTTAACTGGGTTAACTGGATTAACTTGGTTAACTAGTTGCAAGTAGGCTGAGACTCCAAGTCCAAGTGCAGTCCCCAAGTTGTTTCCACGAGTACTGCCATTAGACCACAGTTGCTCAAACATTGGGGAGAACCAAGTGGTACTTGCTGGATATTTGGGTCTTGTGTGAACCAGAACTTCTAAAGCATGGGGCCTCAGTTTTGCATCTCATCAAGTATCGTCCATCAAAGCTTTCACAGATAGAAAGGCACTTCCAAATTCTTGGGTGGTTGGGGAGGATGGTGATTCTGACTTCCGAGTGCTGTAGTAAGGCCCAAGGCATAGAATGGAATTGGCTTCCCGGTGATGATGGTGCGTCTAGCCAAAGGACCATACCCTAAATAGCATCATCCTAAAGTTTGCAAGAAGTCTTGTCCCGGAATTTTTCCCAATGAGCTGTTATGCAGTGCTCACAAAGAGAAACAAGCCTAACAGCCAGTGTGTTCTAGCACCTCCTTCATTTATATCAAGAAATACTCTGCAATAGGGGCCGTCTGCCCTCTGGAAAAAGTATGTAACTCCTTGCCTGCTGCCCCTCATCTCTAAGAGTAATTTAGAAGGAGATTCTCAACATTTATCTGGAGATCTGAAGAGAGGTCAGCTCTCTCTGCCCTTGTGTCCTCTGCCTTCCAGCTTCTCACCCTCCTGCCCAGAGCCCTGGGCTGCCACCCCGTCAGCTCAGCACTGATCATCTGGCAGAGTGGCTTATGTCCACATGGATAAGCAGCATGTGGTGGCAGGAGGCAGGCCCCAAGGACATCTGGCTGCCCTCGGGGCTGGCACAGTCACAGGTGTGCAGAGGGACACCTCATCACCATGACACTCCATCTGGCTGGCCAGGGACATCTGTGTCCCTTCAAGAGAGGACCTTGCTGCAGGGGAGCAAAAGTCTTGCTGACCCCGGTCCGTTGAGCAGCCCCAGGCCTCAGTGCATAGAGATGGGCAGATTTGTGTGCTGTGCTGGCTCGACTGGAGAGCAGTCAAGCTATCAAAAAGTCATCACAATAGCTGACTACAGGGTCACCTGCTGGTTTATTCCAAAGCCACAGGGCGAGCTGCCAACTTGACTGGACACTCACTTCCTCCTCCTCCTCCTCCTCCTCCTCCTCCTCCTCCTCCTCCTCCTCCTCTTCTTCTTCCTCCTCCTCTTTCTCCTCCTCTTCCTTCTCCTCCTCCTTCTCCTCCTCCTCCTCTTCCTCCTCCTCTTCCTTCTCTTCCTCCTCTTTCTCCTCCTCCTCCTCTTCTTCCTTCTCTTTTTTCTCTTCCTCCTCCTTCTCCTCTTCTTCCTCCTCCTCTTCCTCCTCCTTTTCTTCCTTCTCCTCCTCTTCCTCCTCCTCTTCTTCTTTCTCCTCCTCTTCCTCCTCCTCTTCCTCCTTCTCCTCCTTAAAGAACAAATCCTGAAAATACTGCCTAATTGATGCTATTGTAAGAGCTAAATGTGGCTTTGGAATAGAGCCACATGCTAATTGCTTACATCATATGCCCAAACTCACTGCTTAAACAGCATTTACCCCTTCCTTAAAGGATTCCTTATAGATAAGTGAAGGAGGGTTGTATAAGTATACAATTTTAGTGAGTATTGGGGATATAAATAAGTCATCCAACAAACATTTGGTAGCTAATAACGGCCCAGATTAATCATGGAGGGCTCTGAGCACAGTGCTCTGGAAGCCTGCCCTACCAAAGGAAAAAAAAATCCTAGCGGGGGAATATATGAAAACTCTGTAGAACGTGTAACATTTAAGCTTGGCATTGATGGATGGAAGGAATTTGTCATTCAGAGAAGAAAAATGAAATAACCTATGCAGGTGTCCAAAAACATGTTTAGTGATTGCTGAGCAAGATGGTAGATCTGGAGACCATAAACCAAGCTTTTGCCTACCCATGGGTTCTTCCTTCTCCCACCCTTGTCCGCCCCTTTTCTTCCACTCTAACACTTTTCTCTAGCTCTCTAGCACAACTACCTAACAAACCCTGACTAACAGCAACCAACGGCAAACAACCAACAACCCACCCTGCCTCTTGAGGCCTTCCTACTTATATTCTCTCTGAAAAGTCCTCAAGCATCACAGTCACAGAAACTATCTACTGCTGGTAAAATCACACCCCTGCTAGAGCGCAAGGCACATCATAGTTAGCTGCTGTGGACAGTCTGAAGCAGCCTCATTTCTCACACCTGAGACTGAAGCAAAAATATATTCCCATAATATCTCTGTGAATTTTAAAGAAACCAAAACCCCAAATTACACCAGGAAGTGCAAACTGCCTTGAGGTTCTTCACCCACCCATCAGATCAGAAGGCTCTCAGTGTTCATCTAGGTCAACAATGTACTGGGTTCTGAGCAGCCCACATGAAACTGATGGCCACAGGGGACAGAGAGAGCAAAGGATGAGGGCACAGGGAAGTGCAGAGCCCTCTGGAAAGCCTTGCTGAGGGGGTGTCCTTCAAATTGAGAGTGAACCCGTGGAAGGAGCCTGCCAAAGGCACAGCAATAGGGGGCAAAAATGAACTTGTCATGTTTGGAGACAGAGAGAGCCAAGAGAAGGAAACAAGAGCAGGAAGGCGAGTCTTTACATGATGGGATGTTGGTTCTTCTTTGGCAGCAACAAGCCCCTGAACATCCCAGTTGTGTTTTCACTACCAGAATGCCCCCAAGGCTGCATCCAGTCTGTATTTAAAGCAATAATGAGGCAGAGAGGTCCATGAGGGGTTAGTGGAGCTTTGGGGCAGTCAGTAGACCCAGAGGAGGACATGCGTGTACATCATGAAGCATGCTATACATGCTGGTCAGCTCTTGAGAGTGAGGAGCCTTAAAGGGTTGAGAGAGCAGTGGCGACTTCTGGATACTTTGCTGTAAGACAAGCTCATCTTGTTCAAGAAGGGACCAGGTGGCTAGAGGTTGGTAGTGGGGCACTTGCCTAGCATGCACAGGGCCTGGGTTCCTTCCTTCCTTCCTTCCTGCC